TATTAGATACAATATCACATTGTATCAAATAAATATATAATTACTATGTATAAGTTAAAACATATTTTCCAGTTAGGTGTAGTTTTACACACCTTTAAATCCAGCAGTGGGGCAGTAGAGGCAGGAGAATCTCTGTGAGACCAAGTCCAGCCTAGTTACATAGTGAGTTTCAGGCCAACTGGGGCTACAGAGAAACCCTGCCTCAAATTAAAAAGAAAAAATATCCTATCCAAATGTAAAGAAAGAGGTTAAAAATTTGACTATAGAAAATGCTGTATATTAACAAACACAAAGAATGTAAAATATAACCTATAGAAGAAAATATATTTTCAGAACACATTATTCAATTCTGTACCTTTTTATTAAAATCAGTCTAAACCCAAAGAATCCAATAGTAAGAACCCAATAGTGTATACTGAAGGTTCATCATGCTGGAAATAGAGTGTCTAGAAAAATTTTGAATTATCTCAAATTTATCATTGACCTGGAATAGTCAATAAAAATGAAACCTTTTAAAAATGTCCATCCAAATGGCAAAAAAATGTTTTTAAAACCCTACAAATGCCCTACATAAATTTCTTGGCTATTCTGAATTGAATAGCAGTGGACATGGATGAGCAGATTCCTCTGGAGGATAGATTCCTTTGGGTATATGCCCAAGATTGCCATAGCTGATGCACATAGTAGATACATTTCAACTTTTAGAGTAACATCCACATTGATTTCAATCGTGACCACACTAGTTTGCACTCCCATCAGCAGTAAAATGTTCCTCTTTCCCCACATCCTCACCAGCATTTGTTATTATTTGTGTTTTGGATCTTAACTATTCATCTTTTCAGAACTCACTGTTTAGTATTTTGCCCTAATGTTATAGTTGTGGTTTTTATGTTTATATTTTGAGTAATTTGTATATTTTAGATTCTAACCCTTTGTCAGATGTATAGCTGGCAATAAAGATTTTATTCCATTTTATGGTTCTTCATTTGAATGATGCTGTTTTTTTGCTATAAAGAAGCTTTTTAGTTACATGAGGTCCCATTTGTCAATTGCTCATCTTGCCTCTGGTACAGGGGTTCTGTTCATAAAGGCCATTCTTATGCCTTTAAGTTCTGTGTATTCCTTCTTTTCTCCTGTATCAGATTCAGGGCATCAGGTCTCTTGTTGAGGTCTTTGATCCATTTGCAGTTGAGCTTTGTGTGAGGTGAGCATAGGAATCTAGTTTTATTCTTGTAGCTATCCAGTTTAACCAGCATTACTTGTTGAAGATGCTCTTTTCTCCAAAGTGAACTTTTGGCCACTTTGTCAAATATCATGTGGCTATAAGTGCATGACTTTCAATCAGGGGCCTCAGTTCTAGCCCAGTGTTCAATGTGTCTGCTTTTAAGCCAATGCCATGCTATTTTAAAAATATAGTTCTGTAGTATAACTTGAAATCAACAATAATGATTCTTCCTGGTCTTGTTTTGTTGTTCAGGACTGTTCACTGCTTCTTGATTTACAGTACCCAGGAAATGAAAAGAATCAAGATGTAAATTAACTGATTAGTAGATAATGAAAGTGTGATACATTTACACAGTGGAATCTTATTTAACTATTAAGAAAAATGAAATTTGTAGGTGAATGTCTGGAACTAGAAACAGTCATCTTGAATGATGTAATTCAGACCCAGAAAGAAAAACATGGCATGTTTTCTTTCATTTGTGGATATTCCTTTGACTCTTTAAGTATGTGTGTTTCAAAGGGAAAATCCAGTTGTGACCCTGTGAGCTACATTAACAACTGGTCTGGCAATTATGTCCACTGTTGGAAAAGTGGTATGAATGTTATACTCTTTGTTTGGATTTAAGGCCTGCTTACAAGACAGAGGCCGTACCTAGAATTGTAATAAAGGCCAATAATCTGTGGCTAAACAGGTCACAGGACATAGAGGAGCTCATACTGTTATTCTTCTTCTAAAATGGATGTTGTATTAAAAGGACTTCTCATGACTTATATCCGTGGATGAATGCATCTTTCAACTTTCGCCAGAGAAGCTTCTTCCTACAATAGAATGTGATCAGCACAGAGACTCACAAATGGTCAACACTAGGGGAATAAGAGTCTGGGGAGGGCTTAGGCCTACATGGGACACCTATATCATATCCTTTCCTTCCAAGGCTCAGGAATCATTTTGGAAGAGAGGTGGAAAATATATTAGCCAGAGGTGGTTCATGAATAAAAGGAAACTGGGTTTTCTGGACACAACAGGCCAATTGTGACTCTGAACCCCTGGTATTGTAACACCATGCACAAGCCCTGTGAAAACTCATGCTAAACAAAAAACCAGCATAGAGGGTGGAGGTGAGTGTGAAGCCCAAGCTTTCACTGAATATCTTTGGGCAACTGACTTCTGCTGGGAGGGGAGAGAGTCAACTGTTTGTAAGGGTGTGACGCTGCATAGATTTTCATGCTCTGGGGCATAGACCCCCACAAAAAAGCATTTAAGGAACCCAAATTAGACTTCATAGGCTTTAAAAACTAATAGAAGACATGAAGTGAGGGGTGAGGTAGGGAGGTGGGTGGATCTGAGAGGAGATAGGGGAGGGCATCTGAATATGACCAAAATACGCTACACAAAATTCTCAAAGAATAAATTATTATTTTTTACAAACCCTACATCAATAAGGTCATGGGAACATTAGAAATTCTCATAGCTTTGTCAAACAATTGGCAAACCCTATCAATTTTAAATGTTTGTGTCTCAGAACTTGGTATTTATAGTTATAGGCTCATACATCATGGAACTTATGAAAAAAAAGATATATATTCAAATAAAACGTGTCTATAACAGTAAAGAGAGAGATTTAAATGCACTTATCATATCTGTAAAATGGGAGACACAATAGCTATTCAAAGGAATCAACTAGAATGCCACATATCTGAACAAATAAATCTTTAAAATACAAATTTTAGAAAAGGGTCTGGGCAGATGACTCAGTAAATAAAGTACTTCCCCTTCAGACTTGAGTACCTGAGTTCACAGAAATTTCTAGGCTTGGTGATATGCTTGTAATCCTAGCACTATGGAGTTGGAGACATGTGTATCCTTGGGGCTAACTAGTCAGTCTAACCTAACTGGGCTTTAGGCCAAAGAAACACCTTGTGTCAAAGGATGTGGACAGTGTTCCTGAGCTTGAAATCTGGGGTTGTTTTCTATTCTCCACACATAAGTATACACACACACACACACACACACACACACACACACACACACAAAACTGTAGTCTGAAATTTGAGAATGGCTCTTATATACATTATCCAATTTAAAGAATAAAAAAATGTATATTTTATGTACAGTGTAACAATACACAACACATATAAAAGAATGAAGCTTTCGAGATAAAAATAAAGATTTTCTTTAACCAAAAATAGTTACAGGTATAGTATTTCTTAACCATTTTTTGGGTAACTTTTTGTTTCTGTTTGTTATGTTACTCTAACGTCTTTCTGTATAGCTGTAGCTGTCCTGGAGCTCAGTATGTAGATTAAGCTGTCCTTGAACTCACGAAAACTACCCCTGTTCTACATCCCAGACCTGGGGTTACAGGCAGAAGCTATCACACTTGACTTGCTTAGGGCATTTATTACCTTTAGTAATCTTTTATATTGAAGGAGAATCTGTATCAAAGAGGACAAAGTTTTAGAAATTTGATAAGGCTACCTAGTGTATCAGTATCTATATTTAATACTATAATTGAAATTATCCATTAGAAACAGATACAATTCTGACCAGTGTCCCCAGGGCCCCTCATCCTATGTCCTTAAATTCATTCCTGAAAATAGGAATTTAGTCCAAAACAAAATATTTACATATGGCTAAGATATATATTTAGGAAAATCTTTAATTTTAATTCCATATGTTTTAGCATACATTGATGGTGAAGAATTGCATAGAAGTCTAAATGGTCCCTGAATATTTTTGTAAAAACACAGATTTTTAATTATATGTTTTTTAGAATTTCATATAGGACTACTAAAAGACCAAATTTAAATACCACTAAATAGAACATGAAATAAGCTGTAATAGCTATGAAGCATAAATACAAATCTGTAATTGAGGGAATTGCTGTGATTTTTCTTATGTTGTTTGATCTGTCTGAGATATGGTGAGGTTTCTCCGGGTATACAAAGATGAAGAGAACAGTAACACTTTCTCTTGGGCGATGCAAACATGAAGGAGAGACGATCAGGCATGGCCTGTGTCAGCTATTTGGAAGCAGATTACTTTTTAGAAAGAAATGTGTGCTTTATTAATTTGTCAATTCTTCAATAGAAGCATTTTCAACATATTTTAAGTTATCTTTCAGATATTAAAGAACAAAAGTTGAATGAATGTGTATGATCTTGTGAGAGAAGAATAATCCACAAAATTTGCAAGATATTTACTCTTATTATTTTAAAAATTTTATTTATTTATTTTTACTTTATGTCTATGAGTGTTATGCCTACATGTATATATGTATAGCATGTGACACAGTGCCCATGAAAATCAGAAGAGGGTGTTGGATCCCCTGAAAGTGGAGTTATGGGGTTGTTAGCTGTCATGTGGGTTCTGGGAAAAAAAACCAGGGCTTCTGTAAGAGCAGCCAGTGCTCTTAGCTGCTGAGCCATCTTGCCAGCCCCTTATATAATTTGTCATATAAAGCCCTATTTAAAAAGTGGAGAAATTCATATTTCATTTTTTTTTTATTTAAAGAATGTAGCCATTGGATATGTGGAGATTTCTGAACAGTATGGGAGTTTTAATTTTATTCTTTATTAAATCATGAAATTGATTTATCAACATATCTAATTTCAATAAATTAAGTCAAATGATGCTAAATGCAAATGATGGCCACTACATGTGATAATTCAATGTCAAACATGATTACTTTAAGTATGCAAAGAATAAAATAAATTAATGCCAATTCATTTTGCAATGTAATAAAAAAAAGTTTGTCACAAAATCATCTTCAAGATCATTCGTTGTCTAGAAAATGTCTGGAGACGATGTGTTGGGTCCTCAGTCGGCTTATGGCTGATTTCATCTCCTGATTCCTCAGAGTGTAAATAATGGGGTTCAATAAGGGGGTAATAACTGAATAAAATACAGAAAGAAATTTATCCACTGAAAAGCTACTAAATGGCCAAGTGTAAATGAAGACACACGGCCCAAAGAACAGAGTGACCACTGTGATATGAGCAGACAGTGTGGACAGAGCCTTGGACAGTCCACCGGAGGAGCGACTTCGCACGGTCACCAGAATGACAGTGTAGGAAATGAGCAAAAGTGCGAAGCAGATGAAAGACAGCAGCCCACTGTCAGCGATCACCAGCAATTCCAGGACGTAAGTGTCAGTGCAGGCCAGCCTCAGCACCAGGGGAAGGTCACAAAATATATCGTCCACTGTATTAGGGCCACAGAAGGGCAAAGTGACAGCAAAAGCCATTTGGCTCATAGTGTGCACGAAACCAACAGCCCAAGATAGCAGGACAGAGCCCGCCAGCACCCTGCGGCTCATGATGGCAGTGTAGTGGAGTGGTTTGCATATTGCGATGTACCGATCCACAGCCATGACTATGAGAAGACTCATCTCGCTGCCCCCTAGGAAGTGGAGAAAGAACATCTGAGCCATACAGCCCCACATGGAAATAGTTCTATTTTTCCTCAGGAAATCACTGATCATCTTAGGTGTTGTAACTGTGGCAATAGACATATCCAGAAAGGAGAGATTTCCAAGGAGGAAGTACATAGGTATGGAGCGCAGATGAGAGTCAAAGGTTACAGTGACCACGATTAGGAGGTTTCCTGCCATGATGGATGCATAGGCCACCAAAAATATGAAAAAAAAGAAAACAGATAGTTCCTGACTTCTGGTGAGTCCTAGCAAAACAAACTCAGATACTGAGCTGTTCTTCATATCCATCTAGTTGAAGAGCTGAGAAAGTCTTTAAAAAGCGTATAATCTGGAAAACATGATCATTTAGTCTGTCATAGTGAGGTCATACAAATATAGAAAGTGATTATTCACATAGGACGTTTATAAAAACATGTATATTTAAATGGATTACTTGACATGGCATTGCTATAACTGCAATGTTTTCACCAGAAAAGCAGAAAGGATGAGAAAGCTATTTTAAAATTACATACTTCTGATTTCCAGCATAGATTGCATCATCACATGCATTTGATATTTTTATTACAAGTTCATCAGCCACAAGTCCTGTTTGGACTATGCATAATAAATGTCAAGTCTGTTAGTGTATGAGGTCAAGTGCAAACCACCTGACCACTCAATTTCCAAATGCCTAGTATTCCCTCTTCCATTCTTTGTCAAGTCTGTTAGTGTATGAGGTCAAGTGCAAACCACCTGACCACTCAATTTCCAAATGCCTAGTATTCCCTCTTCCATTCTTTTTAATACTGAGTGTTTCAGGTACGTGCATGTGTTCAGTTATACAGCTACTTTCTTCTACCATGTAAACTACACGCTCTCTCCTCCCTTTCATCCTAAGAGGACAGATAATATCTTTCACTTCTTTGTCAAGATTTAAACTGGTCATAAGTTCTTACCAGATTCTGTCCCAATAATAACTGCTATCCTTCTAGGATTTTTATGAATGATAATGTAACTGCTTCCAAGGCAGTTACAAGGCAAAGGTCTAAACCTTTCTCCTTTTAGGTAGTATCCTGATTCATGTTTTGAAAATGAGTAAGACTCCTGATCCCTCCTCCCTGTGCTCTTGCTGCCTTTCCTGATGCTGCTGTTGTTGCTGCTCGGGGCCAGACCTGGGCTTTTCCTTCCTTGCTCCTCTTGCTTTCTCTGTTGGCCTCTGGGCAGCCAGGATGCCTTTTGCAGATAGTGTGTGTGCTTTCTTGGTAACTACATACTTATCTTTTCTCCCCGATTCTGCATCTGTGTAGACGAACCCTGGACTGGTCTGGGCTCTCCTCACCTGCAGCTGGCCCTGCTGACACTCTGCTGTCCTGCTTTGTAGTTCTCATTTGATCTTTTGATTTCAGCTTTTTAATTTAAAATATTTTATTTATTCTTTTTATTTCATGTGTTTGAGTGTTATGCCTGCATGTAGGTAAATGCACTCATGTCATGCAATGTCCATGGAGGACAGAAGAGGCTGTGGGATTCCCTGGAACTGGAGTTACAGACAGTTGTTAGCTGCCATGTGGGTGCTGGAATTTGAATATTCGGTGTTCTTAACCATTGAGCTATCTCTCCAGCCCCAATTTCAGCTTTTTAATCCTTACATTTTTTTCTATACCACTGAGTCTGATACCCCACATAGATATATAGAAATAGACACAGACACAGATACACACACACACACACACATACACACACACACACACACACACTACGCATACTTTAGCCTATCATGTTTCTGTAGCACCAGAAAATAAGGTATGAAATGCATTCTGACCCCTATTTTTTTTAACTTCATAGTATTTCAAATATCTACAAAGCATTCTTTGGCATGGATATCTGAATGACATATGTTAGTCCTGGTCCAGCTTTTATAAAGAAATAGACTTTTAGCTTATTTTAATATTGGTTTACTTTTCTGGAAAAATAAATTATCTGTGTTTTAACCTTGTGCATTAAGAGATCTTTAGAAATAATCCTAATGAATATATTTATTTCATTGAATGTGACCAGTTGCTGTGTATGTCCATGAATTAATCTCATTTTCTGGTGATTATAAAGATAATGCTGATATAAAATTGTATTATAAATCCTGTAAAGAATTATTTTCCTCATCATTGGTTTCATACAGTAAGAGTCTGCATACTAATTATGGAATTGTTTATGAAACTATGTAGTCCTCAAGGTCATATACTAATAAGAGAAAATTTAGAGGAGACTCGTGT